GGGCAAGTGGGACGGTGACTATATGGTCGCCGACCTTGAAGACTTCAAACGCGACGCATTACGTGCAAGCGTCCATCAGGTCAAGAAGATATATTGCTCACCCAAGGAGCGATGGACGTTCCCGATGCTGGCTGTGTACGATAAACAGACACGATCAGTGTGCATCAACGATCCTGCGATGCACTCGAATGTGCCAAAGCCGAGTGAGCGTCTTGACGCCTCCGATATGCTCGATCTCGAAGATATCGATGAAATCTTCGCCCTTGATGAGTCAACGCGAATGACCGACGAAGACATTCGCCAGGCTCGCGAGGCTGAATTACGAGCAGAGTCCTCTCATGGAGGAGGTGCTGACTACTGGGAGTATGATCCATCTGTGCATAAATGGACGTATCACGTCGTTGTTCCAAGGAAAGCGATGGTTCATCCCAGTAAGACTCCCGGTTCCATTGGGGAGTCGCCTGATCCATGGAAGCTGAGCACAGTGCGTATATCACATGTCCAATACAAGGATAAAAGCCCGGTTACGATCTATGAGACCGGGTATGCTTTCGGCAAGACAAGACTCATGCAGCTCTGGACCGGCACTGTTGAATTTTATGATGACGGCTATGCCCCACCCAAGAAGAAGTTACCTCCTTACCACGGGTCTGAGATCCTGGAGGGCGAGGGGGGTTTGCCTTATCGTCAGAGTGTGCCGCGTTCTGAGCGCGCGTATAAAGGGTCTCGAAAACCGAACTCTATCGACTCAGAATCCTGGCGCAGCATGAACCGCGCCGAACGGGAGGGATATGTAGAGGCTGAGCGCCGAGAAGCTGAGTCTCATGCAATGTCCCGAGAGGATTCTCGCGATGCCGCTCCTATAGACATCGCTTATGATTCAGATTATGCGTCGGGTGCCGAACGACATGACAAGGATTATTGGTATCACGATGTCGCAGCTGGCACGATCACCCGCTTTCATGTGATCGAACGCCGAGCGCGCTTCAACCCTACCTCCGTCAAAGATTGTCCTGTCGATCCTACAACATTGACCGACGTCAGGATGACTATGGCAATGACAGACGGCGCCGAGTTCACATTGCAGGACTCGTGGAGATCATCCGATGCTCGATCTCTGCCCTGCCGATGGACAGGAAAGACGGTCTTCGTTATTGGTTCTTCCGCCAAAACGCAGATTAAAGTTCGAACCCGTACGCCGAACACCGATGACACGGGGCGACGCGTGCAGACTGCAAATGGCTATTATGGACACGCATTGCGTGCAAACCTGTTGTACCTGCCAAATCTCGCGCCTGTGTCGTTACGGATCTTGAGTTTGAGCCCCCGGGTGGTATGTCCGCCCGTCTTCAACCGCTCCGCGGCAGTGGCCTCGATGTTTGCCCGGCCATGTACACATACAATGAAGGGGCAACTCAGTCCGGTGTCGACGTCCTCAATCCTACTGACTACGATATTATAGTCGAGCCTGGACAGGACGTTGCGGTGGTTCAATTCTACACTGACACTTCCGTTTTGGCCGCAGTGGAACTCGATTTCACCGCGGACGATGTGGCAGATGATGTCTCTGCACCGGTTGAACCGCTCGATGATGGTCATGCTGTTGATACAGCGCCTGCAATGCCTGTTCGCCCTGATCCTCATTCACACCGATCTCCCGATTCATCGGTCTTCTTCTATAGTGCGTGTGTCGCGCGGCCCGTTGATCGAAAAGAGCGTGCCGCAAATCCCAAAGCGAAGGCCGCCCTTGACAAGGAGTGGAATAAGCTCATCAATCAAGGATGCTGGGACTACGCATCCGTGCGTGAATGGCGCGATGTATCTAACGAGGCTATGGCCAAAGGGGAAACGGCCCATGTTGGTCGTATCTTCGATATATGCGTTGAGAAGAACTCCGAACTTCCGGAGTCCGACCCTAATCGCAAATTTAAGGGTCGAGTGGTGTTTGAAGGATGTCATGTCAAAGACGAGGGCAATAATTGGGCTATTTTCTCCGAGATCACTTCTTGCCCCGCGACCATGGAAGCTGGAAAGGCCGCCGATGCTTTCGGCCTTCTTCCTGGTCACGAAATACAGGTTGCCGATGGAGAATCTGCCTATACCCAGGCTAAGCTTGGTGGCCCGGCCACATGGGTCCGCTTGCCCAAGGATCGTTGGTTGCCCGAGTGGCATGGCAAATATCACGATCCGGTCGTACGCCTAGTGTTGGCTCTTTATGGGCATCCGGATGCCGGTGGTTTCTGGGAACAGCACTGTGAGAAGGCTCTTCGTTCAGTTGGGTTCGAGCAATGTCCCGACTGGAAAAGTGTGTTTCGTCATCCCAAACTGAATCTTATGCTCGTGGTCTACGTCGATGATTTTAAACTCAGTGGACCAAAAGCCAATCTGGCCAAAGGGTGGGAGCTCATGGCATCGAAGATTAAATTGGAGCCGCCCTCGAGCATCAAGCGTTACTTGGGATGCGAGCATGTTACCTTCTCCCACGTTGTTCCTAGTGCCTTTGATCCGCGCTCCTATTGGACGCGCTTCGAGGAACCCAAGAAGGCGTTTCCCGAGCTGACTTTTGGCGATCGAGACACCAATGTCGCGCAGGGCTCTGTTGGTCCTCGAGAAATACGAATGATCAAATACGATATGCGATCGTTCATGGAGCAATGTGTTTCTCGCTATGTTGAGCTCTGTGGTCCTAAGTATAAAGCCACATTGCGCTCGGCTGACACGCCGTTCCTCGATGAATCGCGACCGGAGTTCGATACCAATCCGGATCGACCTGCTGTGAACCGCCTGATGGGCCATCCCGTTGATGCGCCTGTCCCTCCTGGTAAAGGCGTTCTCGGCGACTGTGCAGCCGTTCTGATGAAAATCCTGTATGGTGCTCGCATGGGGCGATACGATTTGATTCGTCCTGTGCAGGCACTCGCCAGTCTCATCACCAAGTGGGATGGCTTGTGTGATAAGAAACTCCATCGACTGGTGTGCTATATCAATTCTACCCTCGATCTCAACTTATATGGGTGGATTGGTGATGCACCCGAGATGCTGGAGCTTGTGCTCTACTGCGATGCCGATCTTGCGGGTGACCGCACTGATTCCAAGAGCACCTCTGGTGTCTTTATGTGTCTTCTTGGGCCGCGTAGCTTTATGCCTCTTAATGCTTTGTCCAAGAAGCAAACTTCTGTGTCGAAGTCTACCCCCGAGGCCGAAATTGTCTCTTGACCACGCTGTGTATAAATTAGGCCTGCCTGCTCTATCTATGTGGGAGTATATGTTGGGCCGCCGTTTCCGATTGCGGGTCATGGAGGACAATGAGGCCGCTATTCGTGTCGTTATCACTGGTCACAATCCGAACATGCGTCACATGTCTCGTACCCAGCGCATCGATATCTCTGCGTTGAACGAGCGTTATCACGCTGGGGATTTTCTGTTCGTAACGTGTCCCTCTCAATTCGAGGCTGGTGATATTCTGACCAAGGCCTGCACTGATGCTAAGGTGTGGGGCCGCAACCTTATGTCTATTGGTCACTTTCGTAAGGGTACTCTTATTTCCTCCGGTATGCTGTCTGCCGCTCCCGCTCTCCCTGCTCTCCCCTCTGTCTGTCCAACCAGGGGGGTACATCTTGAAACCGGACACAGCCCCTTCAACGATTTCATCCTCGACATGTCTCGTCAGGGGGGTGTTTCAATCGATGATGCTCACCAATTCGGAGCAGCAGTAAAATGTATTCATATCGGAGGCGAAGGCATAATCCGATTCCCTCACGCTCGAAGTATCAATCTCAGTCTCGATGATAATGCAAAAGGGATTGCTATTTCGAACATCAGGGTCCCGCCTACGCCTGCGGTATGTATTGTCACTGTTCCGATTGCTGGCACCGCTAACAAAAGAGAAGCTGGTTTCAAGAACAGGGGTTGGAAAGAAATGAGGGGCGACTTAAAGGAAAAAGGATGGGAAGCCAGGAAATTACTCGGGTACGCCTCCGCTGCCCGCTCATCCGGAATCCCTCTGTTCCTTGTGCTACCGAAAGGAAACCCGCTGTGGGGTAGGGAGTATATACGACGATGGTCTGAGTCGCACGAGCTGTGCCCTGTCAAACTGTGCTCGTGCTCCTCTGGTCGATGTTCCCAGCATGCATGGATGTGTGAGATTTTCATGCCTGCCCGATTTGGGCCCATCTTCATGTCACGATTTGCATGCAACCATAAGAAGGCCAAAAGGGCCGACCCGAAGGAGCTTCGACTTGCATTGTGGACTGTGCTTGAACATTTCATGAATTCTGCAATCTTTGGCTCACAGCAATCCGCGTTGCCGATTGCTTAAACAAAGACGCCAAGGCCATGTTCACACACACACACTTGCACACTCACACTTGACTACAGCTTGGTAAGGAGCTCTAGGGACGATGATCATAGATCACCTTCATCAACCGACCATCACAGACCACCTCTACTACGACCCAGTCTATAGCCCACTTGCGCTCCCTGCTAGGACAGGTTGTAGCTGCCACGGGCTGCGAACTTCCCCGCGCTGCCGCCGCTGCTGAACGATGGGAGGAAAGAACAAGCAGCCACCGAAGAAGGCTGCTGCCAAGACACCGGCTGCCCGATCACCTCAGCCGAAGTCTCCCTCGCTATGCGGGGAAGGCCTTCCGAGCGGTCCGATTGCACCGACTACGGAAAGGCCTCCTGCTCCGCCGATCCCCACGGAGCAGGCTGATTCTAACATGGGTACCGATGAAGCCACTGTCCCGATTCAGACTCCGAGAGATGAGTCTACAGGGGGTGGAAAGCGCTCCGAGGACATTCCGATAGGATTGAGGATGAAGACGATGATGCTGAAGATTGGAATCCAAGAGATCCCACAGGCCTCAATCTGGCAACGCCTCGAGCAGCTGACATGAAACTCTGGGTACGATCTAAAGCTGCACCAGCTGGTTGACTCCTTCCTTCTCACTACTCATCCGCTTGCGGATAAGCAGAGGAAGCAGTATCCCCAAGAGTTTATGGACTTCATCGACCGATACAGGGTGATGTGCGCTCTTGCATTTTCCCGAGTGGCGACGTTGTCTGGTGACGCCGCGGGGGTCCGCGAGAAAATGGACCTTACGATGGCGCTGGCTCGCCACTGTATGCTTTTCCAAGCGCAAAGCTTTAAGGGATCCCGAGATATGCTGAGCAACGATACGCTCCAGCTCATGGGAACCTGCTACATCCCGTCGCCTCTTGCGAGCTGGAACCGAAATCTCATGGGATATAGCAGTTCGACTGCTGAACAGCGATGGTTGAGGACCGATACGAGTATCAAACACAACGACCTCACCAAGCTGTCGCCCATTGAGTTGTCAAGGGAGGCGGTCAGCCAGGTTGAAGCTGTGAAGTTCTTCAAGGGATTTCTGCAGCTCAGGCCGACGCTATCGTTCATCCCTGGAGCGTTTCTGGCGCTCAAGGCTCTTAACCGATTTCCCACGCTGGACTCTTTGAAAGAGCAAGCAACTCACCTCGATAACGATCGCAAGGAACACGGCTACGATCTTCCTGCCGTGGACGCGAACGGGATCGGGGAAGCAGCCGCCTTTCGCAACGAAGACGACGATGAGAATACCCCGTTGATGCGCGGGTGGGTCTCGTTCATGAAAGCGATGGTTGAGGCCTACCCCGGCCGGTGCGTTAGCATCGATGATACGCTCAACTGGGGAGCCAGCACCCCTATGACCTATGAGGACGGTGCGGGGCAGACTACCATCCGCCCGACTGATGGATGGGTGTATGTCCCCGCGATGAATTCGGACATATACGATCCTCAGGAAACGTTCCTTCACGGAACGAACCTCCGATACCTCTGGTCGATTCTTGCACACGGAGGTCTGTTCGGGGAGGATTACGTGACGGACGATCATGGAAGTCACGAACCCTGCGTCTGGGTGACTGGACACGCTTCCGAGGCTGCCGGTAGCTACGCGTCTGGCACATACCTCGGAGGAGGATACTGGTTTCAAGTGATGATCTGCGTCTCCCGGACTGTGGTGAACACCCACGGTCGCACGACGAAGAAGCTGGGAGGATCCCAGAAACAGATCCGCGTCGGAACTCGATTCCTCGAGCTGTGCGGGATCGCGTTCAGGCCCTTCCGCCTTCTGGATGACCGCGAGCAAGGGGTTTCTACCTCTCCACAATACGTCATCCATGGTCACCGATTCCTTAGTGCCGACGGGACAAAAGCTGTGGCCTGGCACCCATGGATGGAAGCGAGCCCGATTGATCCTCGCATTCTGAAGCTGCTGGGAGAAAGCGTCGCTCGCGACAGTGTCGAGTTTGCCGACCTCACGATTCAAGGGGGCAACACTACTCAACAGGTTGCTTCCACCGAGACGGAACAATCTAGGGCGACCGCGGCTGACGATCAGGCTGCGGAGGGTGGAAATGAGGCGACGGACCGAGTCACAGTCCACCCAGCAGTGCTTCGCCGCAACCACTGGATGCCTGACTCTCACGGGACCAGTGAAAACGCCACTGTCGGTGGCAGGTATGCCTTGCTATCCGAACTTCAATCCTCCAGCTACCGATTCGAGCTTGCTCCATTCTTTCAGCTTCGAGCACCCATCATGGGAGAGGAAGGAAGCCAAGGTTTGCCAAAGCCTGCAAGGCTCGAGACGATTGTCGGAGGACCCTCCAAGGAGTGGGAGGCATGGTGCAGACACTACCGAAAGGCATACGGTGTCATGCTCGGAAACTTCGGCTACACGCCCGCCAAGAGCCTCAAGAATATCCCGTACAGAGAAGAAGGAACAACGGATATTGTTAGTGCGCCGATTTGGAGCCCGGCCGATGCACTTGTGGCCGTATCGATCCATGGGGTCAGAACGGTCACGACCATGGCCTCCACGATTGTATTTGGGGGTGCACCGCCAACGATCAAGCCGGCGGTACCCAGCAAATCGCAGAGATTCGTTGTTATGCACGATGGCCTGCTGTCCTTCAAGTCTGCCAAATCTTGGCATGATGGTGAGATGAACGCCCATCTGAAGAACGCGCTGACGAATTTTGGGTTTCCTGATTCCGAGGTGCGCGTGCAGGCGTTCGGCGAGGACAACAAGCTCAAGGATATGGTCGACACTCTCGCGATGATGCAGAGCGAGACCTCCATCCCGCCATCGAATGTGCACGTCCTCATCCTTTGGAGAGGAGAGGATCTGTGGAAGATAGACCAGGGCTGGAACAAGCTAACTGGCGACATCGATATGGCACGATCTCAATATGCCAAGACGACCGCCCGGGATGCTCTCGAGAAGTACAATACGATCTACGGATCGGTGTCCCTTTGCGGTCCGGTGTCGCCGAGCATGGTGTACCTTCCGACTCTCCCTGGCCCTCTCTTCGAGAAATACAGAGAGGAGATGAGATCGATCTGGGACGCGATCAGGAGATCCAACCTCCTTACCCTGTCTTTTGACGCTATCCTGGAAGGTCTGCCATACCTGAAGGGATATCATCTTATGCATGAGTCCAAGACGATTGGGGTCCTATGTACCCGCATTTGCTCGATGTTCACTCTTGCAGCTCTCGCACGATTTCCGTCTTACGGGACCCGCCGGGAGTATGAGATCGCTGCCGAGAAGATGTGGGCACGCACCCCAGTCCCGGAAGAGAACTCGCCGGGCGCGGTGAAGGCCATTGTGCACTCCACTGTGCAGGACCTCATCGATGGTGCAGATCGCGGCGCCGATCATCAAGCCGCAGAGACTGTCGACATGACTCAGCTAGGTTTCGATGATGACGATGATGACGATATGCCTGACGACGTAGGTCCGACCGCTCACGGGAATCCGATCAAACAGGAACAGGGAACATTGGCGGATCTACCGGGTGTTCGTCATCCGGATCCGATCGAGCTTCCAGCTACTCCCGTGCCTGGCGAGGCAATGCCAGTGTCACCTGGCCTTGCTCCGACTGCCATGAATGATGAAGAATCTGGCAGCAGTTCCGATGAGAACGATCAGCAAGGGGATGGTGACGCGGCGATGCCCACAGTCAAAAAGGAGGAGTCCGATGAAGAGTTCAATGGGCTTCTCGAAGGAATGACTGAGGAATTCGCGAAAATGCCCACTCCTCGAGATGCCGAGCGAACTGTCGCTGCCAATCGGGACGCTGCACGACCGCCTGCCGTGCCCTCGATTCCTCTCTCTACGATGAAGAAGCCGAAGCCGGTTGGTGGCGAGCAAGCCGCGGGGCCCACCGCCGACAATCGACAAGCTTATGCGCACTTCGAGAGCCAAGTCAGTGAAGCTGAAGCTCGCCGCGAGCAAGCTGCGGCAATGAAAGCGCATATCGATGAAGTGGCAAAGGGCGCCGCCGGTGTTGAAAATGCCGAACATCTTCGATCCATTGCCGATGGGCTAGCCAAGGTCTTGGGCCCGAACATGAGCGATGACAATGTGTTTCAGGGTGCCTTGTATCCCCCGGGTGACTATGCGCTTGACGCTGTCACGAACCGACTGGCTCAAGGCAGACGTCGGGTTGAATCGAACAGCAATCTCATCAGGGAGATGGCCAGCGACCGATTCACGCCTGTGCTCATCAACCGAGACACTGGTGAGACTGTGTCTGCCATCGATGCACGATGGACTCCAGAGTATGGAAACAGGGGGGAGCTTGAAGCTAAGGTTGGTGCGATCATTTCCAACCTGGATGCAGTGGTTGCAAGCATGTCAACCCTCCCTGTGTTCCATCCGCACATTCCGTCGACGTATGGTATGGCTCGATCGCTTCTCAACACATACCAGTCGTTGCAGATTGCCATCCGACACCGTGGCATGGGTGCGATGTCCTTTGAGCAGATGGTATTCAAACCAGAGGACCTTGAGGTTCCGACCCCCGATGATTGGCCGGACCTCATCGCGCCTACCCCCGGAAAAGTCATTCAGTCCATGCGAGTTGCCCTGGTGAATAACACAGCGGCGAGGTTGACGAGAGAGGACCTCAAGCTGCCGCCGGGCTTCGCCATGCAGCGACGAGTGACCGAATTCCGCAAGCCGGAAGAAGACCCGGTGCAGAGCCTAATGGGGCTCACCGATGATTTGAGCTATGGCACAATTGGCCGAACTGGGGACGACAGATTGTCCCAGCTCCAGCGCAGTGTTGCGGTACAGCTGCGAAACACTGCAGGTTTCATTGCAAACGAGTTTCAGAGGCACGCTCGATCTATTGCTGCTTCCTCCTCGCGTCGCAGCGACGCCTCAGGCGCCCTGAGTAGTCAGGGCGAAGGCGCAGCGGACAACGATCTTCCGTCCACCGAGCAGGCCAGTGCCGCTTCTGTGCGTTCAGCACCACCGCCCCCGCCAAACATGGCTCCTCCTCCTCCGCCCACAGCGGCAGCACCTCCAAGGGCGCCCGAAGAGAGTGCAAAGGAGGATGACGATGACGCCAAGATGGATGATGAAACGGCCGATCAGTTGCCTGAGCAGAAACCCGAGGAGGACGCTGATATGGGTGGCGGAGAGGAGCTGAAAGACGAGGTCCCCGGCAAGGCCCCGCCACCAGCTGCCCGAACCGCTGAGAACCCTCCGGAAACAGGCGTGCGTTCCAGTCCTCCGAATGTCATGCCTGCTCAGGGTGCCGTGCTTTTCAGGTGCTAGGGGACCGGAAGTCGATGTTGATCCGGCCAGCACCACAGCCGATCAGGCGGCAAATGATCCGAGAAACTGCCGGATCGAGGGCCCTGGTATCAAGGCGACAACGATTCATCGCCCTGATCAGCTGCCCGAAAGGGGTATTGACTCCATTGCGCCGATCGTGCAGTACGAAATGACGTCTGTCCCGATTGCACTGCCAGATTTCGTCGTTCCGGGACTCGACATGGGCATCGATGACTCCGTCCATGGTCGATTGGTCTCTGCGACCTGTCTCCCACCGACTGACGAGCAGCGCAAGTATTCAAGACGCCGATTTGCTATGCTGTCCTCGAATCAGACAGTGTACTTGGGTATGGCGCTTCACAAGAAACCGCTTAAAGGAGAACACGATTCTTTCCTCCGACCGGAATCTTATGAGGACTGCCGCGAGATCCATGAAGCTGTCCGAGCCTACAATGCCAAGGAGGCGACATACCGATCTATCGGCGGAACATCAGTGTCATGCAGCCGATTGCTCATCGATGACGCACAAAATATCCCTGCTGCCAGGATTCCGGACGCAGGCATGATCAGTTTGGTGCGTAAGCTGCTGTTCCGAGTGCTGACGCAAACAAAGGAGTATCCCTCCTCGACTGCCGTCGGAGCACAGAATCGCCCCCAGGACAAAGAGAGGGGCGTCCCATTGTATTCTTTCCTCGACCAGAGTGGCATCATCGCTTTCGATGTCATTCCGATGTACATGGAACGCGAGAGGGAATACATGAAGGCCAACGCTGGCGAGTTCAGCGGCCGGACGCTTCTCCAGACTAGCATTCTGGACGATGACGATAAGCCGAGTGAGCTCACCGTCCAGTGCATTACGGAAATTGCTCGAACGGACAACAACCGAATGTTTGAGTTCTTCTACTCGACGATCAACGACGATGGAAGTCCTCAATTTGTTGGCATCCGAGCAACCTATGGTTTCGGTCCCGATAACTTCAACCGATTCCGACTGCTGACCAAGTGTCAGCACGGGCCATTCACTCAGCTCGCTCAAGAACATTATGTCAATGGCGAGAGGAGACGAAATGTGGCCCGATATCATCCCCAGTACGGATGGGGATGCGCAACGATTCGCGAGTTCTTCGGATACATGAACGATTGCAAGCTCAATCCCCCAAAGGGGCAGCTCTTCCTCACACTGCTCCCGTATGCCCCTGGATCTGGGAAGAACAACGAGTGGGAAGAGGTGTACATGAACGTCCGAATGAACCCGGGACGTGAGGCGCTCTCGAACACCGCGTCATCACAAAGCATGCTCCCCGAAGGTATGGGATCCAACCGCATGATTGTGTTCGCGGTTGATTTGCACATGATTGCAGCAGGTATCAATCCGATTACATTCCATCCGAGAGGGTACTATGCGATCAAGGACAGTATCCCTCTCGCATGTATGCCGATTGCATACTTCATGGATACGGGATCTCTAGTGTTCAACACGGCCTTCAAATACATCGGAGGCCCGAAGTTTGGCACTGGACCCAAGAGGGGAGACCACAGACGAGAAACGTGGCCACTCGCTAGCTTCGACTGCCCCATGTGCGGAGCTTCATTCCCTGTTGGTCTCCACATGTGTCACTCTTGCACTAAGCCGATTCACTATCCTGATGGGATGTTCTACGCCGATCCTGTGAACCCCTTCCAGGTCGAATATTACGGAAGTCATGCTGAGTGGCTCAATGATCTGATCGAGCGAAACAAGCTTACCGAATTCCAGCTTCACGAGTTTCCTGCGATCAAGCAGCTGAGGAATTTCCCGGTGTCTAGGTCTCTCGCTGAGGACCATAGGCAGACCGCATTCTTCGGAGTGCCACCGATCAAATGCACCGCTGCTGACACATCGCCGAAGGAAGTGGAACTGTTCAAGAGAAGCGTGCGCGGTACGATTCAGGGCGCCATTCGCTTGGACATTTCCATTGAGAGGCTTGTTGCCGGTATCACTGGCAAGGAAGCTCGATGTGGAGTAGAAGACTTCTTCAACTCACAGTCGATCGCATGTGCTGCCACGATTGTCAAGCACTTTGGAGCGGTCTTCGCCACATGTCGCGAAAAGCCGTTGTGCTACTATGCACGTTGGTCGATTCACTGCCAGCGCGCATATCGAGTCTGCCTGTCGCGAGGGTATCTATCCCCCTATTACACAGGTGTGACGGTCGATTATACCATCGACCAAGAGATGGCAGAAAAGATCCGACTTGCTCATCTGCCCTTGCAAAACGCCAATTTGGCGATGAGGCGGCACATTCGACTCTCCACCGAGTTTGGAACGTTGGATGAATTCCGTGCCACTATCACGGATACGCAAAAGTATCAACGATACATGCGTGTCGACAGTGAGAGCCTTTCCGCGCTCCTGGCCAAGGTTACCCTTACCACATGCTACGGCATTCCGACAAAAGGTGAGCCTGGCTATATCTCTGACGATGAAGCAGAAGAGATCGAAGGAGCCGCAGCGGCAAGCGAGAAGCCCAAAGGGAAAGGCAAAGGGGAAGACGAATCCAACGTCCAAGCCATCAACTGGCGTGAGTTGGATCCCTTAGGACGGAAACTTATTCCGCATCACTCTGATCCCCGATTCACGATTATTGCTGAGGGGAATACGGCACTCCTTGATGCAGCCGAAACGCCGGAAGAGACGCGTAAGGAATTCAAGGAGTTCGTTCGCGATCACTCTGTCAAGATCAAAGAATGCTTTGACGATGATCGTGCGACAGAGAAGACATTCTTCAATCTTGTTGAAGGAGTCAAGGATCAGCTTCCCGATGCAAATAGCACTGACCCGCTTCTGATGAAAAGGGCTGAGGACGTCTTCGAGGCTCTCCCCGATGAACTGGATGATCCTCCGAGAGTGTTCGATGTTGCGGCTCGCCAGGCACGACGGCGAGACCCTGCACCTCAGCGCAGAGTGCAGGTCACCGAGCAAAGACAAGCGCCGATTCCCGAGGCTCATGCCGTTCCCATTCCTACGGATGACGAGGATGAGGATGATACTGAGCTCGATCGAGCGGTACGACCCGATCCAACATCACGGCGCACCGGACGAGAGCATCTCGGAGGTGTCGCTCCCGAGACGACTCCGCCACCGCCTCATAACATGCCGCCGCCATCAAATTTGCCGACTCGAAAATCCCATCGGCAAACAGGCTACAGCGCCGCCCATCCTGATGGAGAACCGTTAATGGTGTCGGGGAGGGCAGAATACTCCGATCGAATGCGGTTGCCCTCAGTGTTGCGAATGAAGACTCGGGTTCCGGAGTCGGATCTGGATAACCCGACGATTGAGGACATCATTCGCATGTATCGTACCTCGTGACGAGGAACGAGTTACGACTATGTGTGCTAGCTTACCTATTACTACTCGAAGCTATCGAAGGTAGCTTCGCTAGAAACGAAGTTTCGTTCGCTATCGTCGCTCGCAGGAGAGTTGCCTCTGACATGCGAAGACAGGATAGCTGTGACTTGGAATGGCTACGACGGTGTGTGACCGTGGCCATTCTGGATAAAGTCCCCCATCAGGGGGGGTAATTTTGAAGTAGTGGGGGATAGAAGGGGAACTTGGCTATCTAGCCAAGCGAGAATGGCCTCCCCGCGCTCCCCTTCTGCTTCGCGGACGGCTAGCCCACAGTCTCCGGCTACTACGGTGATTCCGGCTAGTCCTGGGGGCGAGGAGCCAGGGAGTCCAACCGTCTTGCCCACGGCTGAGCCGGAAGAGCAGGGCGTCGGACCGGCTACTCCCTCCGGAGGGATAGGGACCCCCATCGGTCTTCCGTCCTTGTTGGATAGCGCTCTTGTGCAGAAGCGTGCGGTGCTGGATAGATGCCATGAGCATCTGGCGTCGCGGGGCTTCGGTGTGCTTGAGCTGGCTACCCTCGGTCTAGAGGACGCGGAAGATATTGGGCACCAAGTGGCTGGGGAGCTGGGCGTTGGCTACGACGAGTACATCGGCGACTCGATCTACCTGTGGATACAAGAGGCCCAGGAAGCTAGAGACCTGGTGGAGAGATCGTCGGGATACAGAGCAACTTCGCTAGCTTGGGCTAACCTCAGCAAGCGGCCGGCGATCGAAGGCATCGACCTTCAGGAAGATAGCGAGCCGGAGCCCCCGAAAGGGGATAGACAGAAGCGCTTGGTCAACGAGGGCTCCCTGGCGCAGGCTAGGGAGGAGAGGCTACAAGCAACCTGGGCTATTAAGCTCAAGGAAGAGCTAGAATTGTGCGAGGCGCCGGTGCTGAAGAAGCTACAGGGGTGCCTGGACCCGGATAGAGCGGTGTTGGCGCTAGCGGGGAAAACCCGGGCTAGCACTCTCAAGCGCTACGTCTCGATACACGTGAGATGGCGGCTATGGCTACGGGAGGCTAAGAGTGGACGCCCCCCTGGGCTACCGGCCGACCTGGCCGACTACATCATGGCTAGGGGCGACGAGCCCTGCGGGCGAACAGTCCCCGAGGCGATCCTCAAGGCCATCAGCTGGATAGAGAGGGTCGCGGAATGGGCGACCGAGTCGAGAGCTACCTCAGGCAGGATAGCGTGGGCGATCAAGGATACGGTCGTCGAGAGGCTATCCTGGAAGGCGCCCTGGACGCGGCGAGCCCCCCGATATCCTGCGGCTATCCTGGCTAGGTGGGAGCGCCTGGTCCTGGATACAACTGTGGCCGTCGGCTGGAGAGCTTGGGCCTGGGCTAAGCTCCTAAAGGTTTGGGGCAGCTTGCGATGGTCGGACCTCCAGGCTATGGTCCCAAACGAACTGGCTATGGTGGAGGGTCGGCTATCCACCATCCTGCGACGGACGAAAACCACCGGGGCTAACAGGCGCATACGGGAGCTACCTGTATGCATCTCGGAGAGAGCCTACTTCGAGGACCCTGGCTGGCTACAGGCGGGCTTCGACCTGCTAAAGAACCACGCGGGCTACCAGCGGGACTATCTCATTCCAAGGCTAGGCGAGAGAGGCGCCCTGGAGAAGAAGATGGCTACCTACGCAGATGCGATGGTGGCAACAGTGGGGCTGCTGGCTATGGTGGGGATCCCGACGGTTGCCCGAGGCTACTGGTCGGAGCACAGTGAGAGAGCAGTGCTACCCACCGGGCTGAGCCTAAAGCCGATCCCGCCGGCAGATAGAGATATGCTAGGACGCTGGAAGCCCGAGGGCTCGGATACCTACATCCGCTCCTATGGCGGAAGGGTCGCCCGACTCCAGGCTACCTATGCAGAGGCGGCTAGGGCTCGGGACCGAGAAGAGCAGCTAGACGAGAGGGATAGCCGGCGACCTTGGTGGCTGGCTTTTCCGGACTGGCAAGGCTAGCGAGCAGGAAGCTGAGAAGCTGTCGGGAGAGCTGCGACGAGAGTGGGCTAGCGAGCGCATCGTGGAGATGGTGGCTGGCCCGGGGATACCTGAAGAAGTCGTGGCGAGCGATTCTCCCGAAGATAGACCCGACTCCTCGGCTAGTGAGCCGGAGCTGGGACCGGAACCCAACCGGAACCGGCCGAGGCAGCTCCTTAAGGCTAGGTGCACGAGCTATATCATAGTTGAGCTTCCAGGGAAGAAGTACAGGCTACACAAGGGGGGCCAGGCCGGGTGCTGGATGGGCCGCCGTAGGATATTTAAGAACTCCCAAGAGTTTTCGGCGAGGCCCGAACCCAACCAGTACACGCATGTCTGTAGGCTATGCTGGCCGAAAGGCCGAGGCGAAGAGTCCCCGTCTGGTGATAGCGACACCTCTCAGGCTAGCACCGGCGACCAGAAGCCGGAGCAGGGAGAGGAAGAAGATTTCGGAGAGGTCCCAGCAGCAGAGCTGCAGGGAGTACCTCCGGGGATAGTACCCCAGTTGCCGATAGCTCCGTTGCCGGCTATTCCGTTCGGCTGGGGACCGCCTTTTGCCTGAAGGGATAGAAACGCCGGGAAAGCAGCGGGGCTGGACAACGGGGGGATACGTCCGGGGGGGGCCTCTCGGGATATACTCTTTCCTTCCCATCTCTCCGGGGGCGGCGGGCCCAGGGGGAGAAAGAAGGGGAGAGAAGAGAGGAGAGAGAGAGGAGAGAATCACGTTGTTGCACTTGCTGTCTTGTCTGCTGGCTAGGACGTAGGCTGCGAGGTTCTTAGGCAGGCTAGGCTGCATGCGCACATGTCCGGCTGAGTGTGCACTTGTGGGCTAGGGCACGGCACAAATGCACATGCTGCGGCTACTGTGGCTAGGGTGGAGTAACGGACCACCAGCTTTTCTGGAGAGCCCACGCTAGGTGGGCGAGCCTGCGTGCCCTCGGGCCGGCTAGCGGCACATGGCTACTGCCCCCAGCTGGGCAGACCAGACTGAGTCGGCTAGCGTCCAGGCGCAACGGATAGAAGTGCTACGCCTCTTAGAGGACTGGCTAGAGACTGACCCGGCGAGCTTGGCCGAGCAGATATACGATCGGCTAAGTCTGGATAAGCAGCACGAGCTTCTCCAGCTAGTGCGAAAGGCTAGAGACATGGGAGCTAGCATACAGCCTGGCGGCCGGCTGTCTGCCAGGCTACTCAAGTTCCAAGGGGCTAAGTCTTGGGACGATATCTCTGCGGAGCTCGAGGCTAGCCTGTCCACCACCGAGGCTAGATACCTTGAGCAGAGGATAGAGAAGAATCGGCAGCTGGCCGGGCTACGACCACACCGACCAGGGGAGACCCTGGAGGAGGATAGCGTCACGGATAACGAGCTGGAGGCTACACCGTGGCAGGGGGAGGCCCCGGAGGCTACCTGGTCTAGCGCCAAACCCCACCTGAACGGCTAGACATGCTACACGAGATGATGGCTAAGCTCAAGGAGCTAGAGGCGGAGGTGCGCGGCACGGCTACCCCTGTTGCTAGGCAAGAGGAGCCCCAGCCTGGGGCAGAGGAGGCCAGCACAGGGGATAGCACAGCGGCGAGGCCCAAGAAGCCGGCTAGGGACCCGCCGACGGTCCCGCTAAGAACAAGCTGCGGCAGGGGAGTGCAGCGGATAAAGAAGAAACGGCTTCCACCCGGATAGCAGCCACCCGCTGGACAGAAGGCTAGGAGCGGGCCGATACAACGAGGCCCAGTGGGAGGCTATGGCCGAAGACGGCCGGATAGCTCCGGAGAGGCCCGCGCTCCAGCAGGGAGCGGCGGTGAACATCAACCTGGATAGGCCCACCGAACGGCTACTTCGCGAAGAACCCGATGTGGTGCACCGGATAATGGCGCCCCCGCCAGTGGCTAGTCAAGCCAAGGGGCGACCACTCGGCCCGGATAGCGGCATGATCGATCAGACCTGGCTATATGTTGCTAGGGCCCAGTGGCCCCTGGGGAGCTATGAGAAGGGCGGTCGCCAGGATAGAAGGCTATCGCAGTTGTCGGATAGAGGCCGCGATGTCAGCGGCAAGGGGGCGATACACGACCCCAACTGGATATACAAGCTAGAGGATGAGGACTTCATCGCGGTTAGCACCCGGTCCGGCTATGCAAAAGAGCTAACAGAAGCGATCCCGGAACAGGGATGGATACTGTGCAGGCCCCAAGGGGCTACCCCTGGGGTAGGCCGGTGGGAGCCTGCCGGGGCTATCTTCAGATGTATAGTGGTCTGTGATCACTGTCGGCTAGAGCAGTGCAACAAAAGGATGTGGTACTGCCTGGATACGCATGGGGATAGAGGCCACACGTGCAATAGCTGCCGGCCCCCGTCCGGCTACGGTGGCCCGGCTAAGGGAGCTGGCAGGGGCCGAAAGGGCCCGGGCTAAAGCACGGTCGTATGGCTAGATCTCCCAGACTTGCGGCTAGTGACGAAAATAGCGGATAGTGTGTGGACCTCACTTCATGTCGGCTAGTGCTTCCGTTTGCCAGAAAGAAGAGAGTGCCAGGCTAGGTTTTCCCAGGGTACGTGAAACCTCGGACGGGGGGGGGGGGTCGGCCTCTCGGGTCTCGGGGGGGGCACTCCCTCTTTCCCAACTCTCCGCGGGGGGGGGGGGGCCCGGGGTCTCGGGTTGATACTCCTTCCTTCCCATCTCTCCGGCTAGGGGGGGGAAAGCCCTGCTGAACGACCACATGGCTAGAGCTTTTGATTTCAAGAACGACAGTAGCCGAAAGGTAGCTAGCCCGTTGGCGGGCTAAATCCAGAATGGCTTCACCGCCCGACCCAGCGGAGCTAGCGAAGGGCTCCACGGATTTTCGCTACCTTTTGACCCAGAATCGGGTCCCGGATACCTCCCAGGCTACCTTGTTCAAAGCCGGGATAGACACGATAGCGAAGTTTTCGGCGAGTTTCAAGGACGAAGCCGACCTCAAGTCGGTGCTAGCCAAGGACTTCTCGATAGAGCCAGAAAGCTCACTAACAAACAGGGCGCTAGCGGCTGCCTTCGTGGTTGCATGGAGAGCCGCGCAGGCCAGAACCCGCGAGCAGGCGGATAGAGAAGCGGCTAGCGAGGTCCGGGAATGGGCCAAGCCCATCCCCCAAACGGAATACATGGCTATGCGCCAGTCCTTCTCGCAGAAGTTTGGCGAGCCCGAGGATAAGCATATTCCGGCTAAGGAATATATTGAGCGAAAGCTGCACGAGCTAGAGACGGGCGAGTTCAGGGCGGAGCCCCTGAACGAGGTGCTGTCCAGAGACGAGATAGACCCGGATGTGCTAGTTCCCCAGTGGGATAGCAAGGGCACCGCCCTCGTGCTCAAGAAGGCTACCTCGAAAGGGGCGATGCCATCCGGACCGGAGCAACTACGGCTACGGCTAACAGTCATGCAAAATGCACTTCTCATGATAGGCCTCCAGCATCCAGGGCGAGCAGAACTCAAGGATATCGACTTCCAGCTCTTTGAGAAATACAAAGACTATCTGCTCGGCGACTTCTGCTATGGGCTACGGTCCAACGAGGCTAGCGGAAGTCTCGCTCCCCCGTGGACCCTGGTGCTATCCTACGAGAACGCTATCCGGAAACAGGCCTACAAGCAGATGGTCCTCAAGGGGATAGCCTTCGCGGACGCGCTAGTCCAGTCCTGGAAGGACGCGGCTACCAAGGAGCGGCACTTCACGACTCCGTTGTCCCTCTGTGCTAAAAGGCCGCAGCCCTGGAACTGGGATAGCACCAACACCCCGCCGGCTAAGCCCAACAAGAAGGGCAAGGGCAGAGGCAAGGGCAAGGACGGCAAGGATAGCAACAAGAAGGCTAAGACCGCCACCTTCCACCGCACCGAGGATGATAAGCCGATTTGTTTTCGGTTTAATTTGAAAGGTGGCTGCAAGAAAGGGGATAAGTGCCACTTCGTGCATGTCTGCACGAAGTGTCGGGGACCGCATTCGGCTATCAACTGCCCCGGCGCGGCTACGCCGTCGACGTCGACAGCGGCCAACTGACTACCGGTGCCTGAGCCGTCTACTTCGGCTACACCTGAGGCGACACCGACACACCGGCGGCTACAGGCTCTCTACCTCTTCTCGGGAAGAGAAAGGCTAGGTAGCTTCCAAAGCCACCTCCGCCGGCTAGTCTCTTCCTACGGGCTCGATATTGATATCTCTTGTGTGGATCTGGCGAGGAGGCCGCCCATCGACCTGGCTACTTCCAAGGAGAGGGCGAAGTACCTCCACAAAGTTCAATCGGGCCACTACGACATCGTGGCTATGTCTCCCCCTGTGGCGACGTTCTCTAGGGCGAGCTCGGCTAACCGTAAAGGTCCCCGGCCAGTCCGAAGCTTCGACGAGCCCAGAGGATTGGCTACACTCACGGCCAAGGAAAGAGACCGGGCTATTCTTGGCAACATTTTTGCTGATTTTTCTTTTGAAATAGCTAGTGCTGCGGTTTCCTCGGCTACCTTCTTCGTCCTGGAGCAGCCAGAAGACCTGGGGGCTATGCCGGCTGGCCCCCACAAAGGCCGGCGACCGGCCAGCATGTGGCAATGGGAGGCTCATGCACGGCTAGTTGGCCTCGGGCTACGTTCGGTGGCCCTGCACCTGGATAACTTCGGGGCACCCTCGGCGAAACCGACACGACTGCTACTGAAGACACCTCTGGAAATGCCGGCTACCGTGCACGAAGGCCTCCCCACTTTCGACAACGATGGCTACTATCTGGGCCCCTTGCCGAAGGCGGCTACTTCATCGACGCCGCAAAGCCCCATGCTGGCTAAGGAGACGCTTGGCGAGTGGCCCTCGAACTTCTGCCGATGGCTAGCACAGTTGGCCCTGGCAACCTGCACGGCTACTGCTCCGACTGCCTCCGGAGAGGGGGTACCGACTGTGCAGGATAAGGTGAGTTCCGGCGACCTCGACTATGTTACAAACCAACCAGAGGGCCCACGGCTACATGGTGGCACGGGACCCCCCCGCCGATGCCATCAAAACGACGGGATAAAGGAGTTCCACGACGGTGGCGGGCTATGCTCTCCTGGGCGCTGGCCCCGACACTCTCGTGGACATGCCGCGGGCGAGTCCTGGGACTGGCTGAGGGCTAAGATCCGGGAGATGGTAACCAGGCGAGTGGGATCCGAGAACGAGCTAGAAAAGGAGGCCTTCCGAATGGCTATGGGAGGCGAGTCGGCCTGCAAGCTCGTCCGGGATAGCCAACTACACGAAGAGCTACTGCAACTCCTGCAAGTTTGGATAGAAGGTCAGGACCTCAGCGAACCTGGCCTACTGGATATTCCTCCTGGGCAGCCCCTTCGTCTACGGCTACTTCGTGCGATCCTCGAGGCGGCAGGCGACCCGGATAGGGACTTCCTCCGTCGGGCCGAGGAGGGACTCCCACTTGGGATATTGGAGGGGCTACCCAGAACACCGCACGTGTTCGAGGAGCAATCCTCCTGGAGGCTAGACAACGCCCCTTGGGAGCCGGCGCTAGCATGGGTTCCGAATTATTCCTCGGTTAGCGACCACAGGGATTTTGTGCGGGCTAAGTTCGACGAGGACGTCGAGGAAGGCCTCATGGAGAGGATGACCCTCGGCGAGTTCAAGGCGAGGTTCGGCGAGGACCGGGCTATCGCCTCCCTGGCCGTGATAGTCGAGGACGAGGAGAAGGACAAGAAGCGGATAATCCACGACGCGACCCACGGCGTCCGGGTTAACCACCGGATACGCTGCCGGGATAAGATCCGGGCGCCAGGGGCTAGAGAAAAGAAGCAAATCCTCCGAGAGCTGATACGCTGTGGCGAGATTGCCTTTTCGGTCGTGGGGGATATCTCGAAGGCCCACCGGAGATACAAACACCAGGCTAGCGAGCACGGCTTCATGGGCTGCCAGATAGACACCGAGGAGACGATCCCCGGGGACCCGGATAGCCAGATCGTCTACGTCAACAAAGTGGGCACGTTCGGACTCTCGCCGGCTAGCTACTGGTGGACCCGGATAGCCGCATGTGGGCTACGGGCAACCCATCATCTGTTGGGCCCCGGCTATCCCATCGACCTCCTTCTATATGCCGATGACCTCGAGGCCCTGGGGATAGGAACGGAGGGGAGGAAGGGTATCCCGTTGAGCTACCTTTTCCTCTCTGTTCTGGGATATCCTTTCAAATGGGCGAAGACTCGTGGTGGCTATAGGGTGGAGTGGCTGGGAATGGAGACAGAGTACTCCTCCTACAGGCTAGGGATGTCCAAGAAGCGGGCGTCCTGGCTATCGGCGTGGCTAAACGACAAGGTGACCTTCGGCAAAGTCACGGCCAAGGAGATGCAGCAGGGGCTAGGTCGGCTAGGCTTTGCTGGGATAGCCTTGGATTGGCAGAGGCCCTTCTTGGGGCCGCTCCACGCGTGGAGCGCAGCCATTCAAGGGAAGTCCGGCCACCTCATCATCCCGACGATGCTCCGGGTGCTGATGCGGTGGCTAGCCGACAAGCTTGACCAAGGAGAGAGGCTACAGCGTCCCGTGACTCTCTACGCCGGGCTACCTCCACTGAGCTTTTTCACGGATGCTAAAGCTGAGTCCGATAGGGCCTGGATAGGTGGCTTCCTGGAGATTTCCGGAGGGAAGCCAGGTCCCTGGTTTTCCTTAGAAGTGGATAGGGCCTGGGCTCCGTGGGCCTTTGCCAAAGGCGACCCCAAGAAAGTGATAGCTGCGCTAGAACTGCTAGCGACCCTCGTGGGGATACCTCTCTGGGTCCCCGAGGGCGAGGATAGGAAGACCTCGCGAGTGGCCATCCGCGGCTATACGGATAACAAGTCCAATGAGGCACTTGTGAAGAACTTTGGCTCGACAGTTAGCTCCACGCGCTCCAAAGTGGGCAACGTCTTAGGGTAGAAGCGGCTAAAACTGTCGGTGGGTAGGAAGGTGCAGGCAATGGCTCCTTCCTCTGGTGGTGCGTCCACCTCTCGACTTCGACTTCAGCGACGACTAAGGGTCATGGAGACCCATCTACACCACGACGACGGCTCAAGACTACCCCTTTGGCCGTGGGCCTGCAGGCCCTCAGAACCATGGCGCTGGCAGGACCAGCCAGGTGAAGTCCTTTCCTTGGGGGAAAGGCGCAATCCAAAGAATCGACGCTGCTTGGGAAGCGGCAACCGGGGTGCATCCGAAGCGCATGGTGGCGATGGTGATGCAAATGTGATGAAAGTCATCTCCTCTTCGGTAGGCTTCATAGTGGCTAGACGTGCTGCCAACTTGGCTGTTGCACGTGTGGCTCAGCAACGCATGTTGGCCTTGGGTGTTGGTCCAAGCATGCCATGGTTTTGTGAGGGCGAGTTCGGTGTCCTGCTTGGGTTAGCAGATGTACCGGACCAAGCAATCAGCGCGTGTGAGGCGGCGGCTCTTAGCTGCGGCGGTGCAATCAGCGCTTGTGAGGCAATCAGCGCGTGTGAGGCGGCGGCTGCGGCAACCAGTGCTTGTGATGCGACGGCTGGTGGCGGCGGAGCCTCAGACGGTGCAGACGGGGTTGCGGCTGATGCCGGCTGGGCCCGCGGCACTGCGCTTCAAGGTGACAGTGACGCCTTTGTTCCGAGGAACCTGGTTGGGTGTCATGAGGCTGACGGTGGTGGCGCAATCAGCGCAAGTGTTGGCGCTGACTGTGGCAGTAACGCTTTTGTTCCGAGGAACCTGGCTGGGTGTCGATCATGACGCTAACGACGGTGGCGCAATCAGCGCATGTGTTGACGCTGGCTGTCGAACTGTTTGTGCCTGTGGCGCCTGTCAGGTTGACGAATACACGGCTTTCGCGGACAATCGCTGCAACTTCAGCCTTGCACAGTGAGAGGCTCAGGGTTTGCTCCCCCAACGGGCCCCCCCAAGGGCCCGAAACAAGATCCGCTCCAGGACCAAAATGCAGTTGTGACGGGCCTACCCCTGAGCTCGAAAGAAGACCCGCTGAAGGGCAAAAATACCATGTAGTGTCTGCTTCTGTCTCTCTTCGGGGGCCCTGCTGGGCCGATGGGCGAGGCAGTGACGCAATCAGCGCAGGTGCGGTGGCGGCCGCTGCAATCAGCGCTTGTGGTGAGGCGACCGGTGGTAGTGGGGCCACCGATGAGGCCTACGCCGTTGCTGCTGTCGGCCGTGCTTGTGGCATTGATGCCGAGGGCGGCAAGGTTGCCACGTGTGCCTGCAAAGCTATCGCCGGCAAAGGTGACTGTCAGGAGACTGCCGCACTCAGTGCTTGCGACCTTGAAATCACCAGGCTGCAGCTGTCTTCGAGAGCGGCGATGGCAATCTCAGGGTCGGCCACCGCTGCGCGCGAGGCAGGTGCAATCAGTGCTTGTGAGGCTGCTGACGCCCGAAATGGTGGCGGTGGCGGCGCAATCAGTGCTAGTGAGAGTGCCGCATGTAACAGTGAAGGCATTAACTTTGTCTGCCATGAGCTCGCTGCCAGGGCCGACGACTGTTGTGATTTCGACCTCGACGAGTTCGTGCCTGGTGAGCGGTTTAGGTTTTGCTCCCCTGACGGGCCCACCCAAGGGCTCGAAACAAGATCCTTTCAAGGACCAAGATGCAGTTGTGACGGGCCCGTCCCAGAGCTCGAAAGAAGACCCGCTGAAGGGCAAAGATCTCACTTGATGAGCTCCCGAGTCCCTCTATGTAGCCCTACTTGGGCTCCCCAGGCCCTCCCTGCCTCGCAGTGCCTTCGCCATGGAATTGCTGAGGATGGGCTTTCGATGAGCTTGAAGGGCGAGGTGAACCTGACGGGCGAGCTGCCCGGACGACGTGGTGGCAGCACCTTGCTGGACGACTGCGACTGCGGCGACGACTGCCAAATGCCTGCCTTTCCCTCTCCTTGAATGTTTTCAAGAATGCTCTCGGGAACACCCACAGACAACCTGGGCCATAGTTAGCACAATAGTTTTGGCAATAGTTGTAATTGTTGCAATTGTTTTGGCAATTGTTTTGGCAATTGTTTTAATTGTTGCAATTGTTTTGGCAATTGTTTTGGCAATTGTTTTAATTGTTGCAATTGTTTTGGCAATTGTTTCGGCAATTGTTTTGAAAGTTTGCGATATTTTCAACAATTGTTTAGGAAATGCTTCGAACATGGAAACATTTTAGAAATAATATTTTAACATTTGTTTGGAATAGTTGCAAAGCTGTTTCAATTACTACAGAAAACACCTTGTTCTCTTGACTTGTTTTTTCCTGTTGACAAACACTGACAAACACCACATGGCACAACATCACACTGCATGCATACTTGCCATGGTCCAACACTGTTCCAGCACGTTGGGCTCAAACAGCCCAGTTCGTCTGAGCTACCACGGCTACCACCCACCAACACAAGCACGCACACAGCCACACCTTCACACAAAGTCCTTAGGACACGTAGCACTGTTTAGGGTTACTACCCACCAACACAAGCACGCACACACCTTCACACAAGGTCCTTAGGACACGTAGCACCACTTAGAACACGTAGCAGCAAGGTCCTCATGACACTCCTTAAGACACGTAGCACCAAGGTCCTGAGGACACGTAGGCATCAAAGCATGCTGGGCGTTGCAGATCTTGCCGCCATTGTGGAACAGCATGCCGCCCCGAATCAAGAAGTAGACGGTGATTCACCGGGTGAGGGTGCTGGCGGTGATGGTGTTCGGCAAGGACGCAACCGGGGGCGGGCCGGTGGGCGGGCCGGTCATGCACGTGCGGTGAATTTAGCGCGAAGTCGCTCAAGCCGTAGGGGGCTGGGGGTGCAGAAAGACCGGGAGGCTAAAAATAAGCTTCAGGTCGTGGCTGCCAACTCTTCTGGCCGCAATCGCACCAGGGATCACTTGTTTCCCATGCATTCAGCAGACAAACGTGCAAAAGTTTCTGGTCGTGCGGGTTGGAAGGTTTGGACGCCAGAGGCGCTGTTGAGGGCTGCTTTTGCAAGTCCGTCTGCGGCGTTACGCCAGGTTGCACAGGAGATTGACGGTGCGAGTGGCAGCCACGTGCTGAATGCACGGATGTTGGTTGCCGACATCATCTTGCAAAAGCAAGCCGAAGGTTTGCAATACCAGAAAACAGCAGCAGTGCGTTCGGCCCTTCTCGCATCAGCCCCCAAGTTCTGGATAATGAACCTTATGTTTGACGAAACAGAGTTAGAGTTGACGCTGGATGGCGAAGGGCCTGGGGCCTGGTCAATTCTAGCATCGCACTCGCAGCTGAGCATTGGCAATGGTGATTCTGATTCTGTTCAGGAGTTCGATTTTGTGCGACTCCCACAAGCCTTGCCCAGGAAGACGGCGTCTTGCATGTACGAGGCTCTTTGCCAGGGTGAGGGCAGTCTCGCAGCAAACAGCATGTCATTGCAGGCTGATTATTGCTGTATCATCATCACTTGTGATCAAGCATCTGCCAACATCAGGCTTTTAAAGCACGTGCATGCCGTGCTGCCTGAAAAAGTGTATTTGCTGCCAATGCTGTGTGCACAACACCGAAATGGAAATGTGATAGAACGTTTGACAAAATTACTCGGCATTTTGCCAGGTTGCTATTGCTTGTCCAAGTGCAGCCAGAAAGGCAAACTCTTCAAGGATTGGAAGCAGGCAATCAGAACCCAGTTGCAGGATGATTTGAAAATCCTGCCCGCAGAGCCCCCAGGCGTGCAGGCAGAGTGGGCAGCAGCAAGAAAACAAGCCCAATTGTTCTTGGAACTGGTGCTGGAAGGTCTTGCCGACAACATTGACGACAGTTCTGGTCTTCGTCCGGGTACTTCGGCCGACATCAAGAAGTTCACAGACTTCTTCCGAGGCCCTTGGACAGGACCGACACCTGCATTCAGATTCAGCGTTCAGTGACGTTCAGAATTGGGCATTGTGTGGGTGTCAGTTGTTTGTTGCGCGTGTCACTGCATGTTGCATGTCTTTTCTTGCAAGTGTCAGCGATCGCCAAGTCAGCAGTGGTTTGCTATCACCGCAGTGTGGGCCTGGTGCCTATCAAGCTCGTGGACTAGTGACCTGTGGTCCACTTGTGACTCGCTTGTGGTAGTGAATCCGAAGACCGTGAAGAGCCATGTCGTCTACCCACACAATCATGAACATGCAGGATGTTTCGTTGCACGGCTTTGTGAATCGCGAAGGCCTTTCAGCTTGTTTCGAGCCAGCAGATGCTCGGAGACAGGCATTGTCAGGCCTTTGGCCAGGTAAAGACATGAAGCCTCAGGATGTGTATGGAGCTGTGGAGAAGCTGCAATCAGTGCTGTGCTGCGACACCTATGGTGGGGTTGACGCTGTCCGGTATGCCCGGGATGCGTACAACAAGCGGCACCTTTCCTGAGTTACGGACTTACGTGTTTGATGGGATCGGATGGTTAGATAGTTACTCTACTTAGTTAGTGAGATGATTCAATGATTTCAGCGTTGAAGAACCAAGCGTAGAACTATATGTGCAGGCATCCGATGCACCTCATCCTCGACCTCCAGAACGGCAAAGGCGGGAAGTTGTGGCTTGGAGGCCACTTCGCGGATGTTGCATGCCTGACGCAGAACCATGTCGCGGTGGTGTTTCCAGCAAACAGAACTGCCACGAATCATTTGCAAGACCAAGCAGCAGTGAGAATCCTCCCGTTTGTGGACGGGACTGGCGTTGTCCATAAAGACGTGGCTTTGAGCCATGTTATTGACCGCCTTCACTCAGTGATCGAGCTGCTTTTGAAGGGCTTCTCCGTGGTGATTTTATGTCACAACGGAGCGCACAGGTCTGCGACCTTGACACTTGGCCGAGGTGATGAATGGTGTAGTGGTTCATAATGGGGGTTTTGCGGCTTTCTGGATTCATGGCTTTATCATCGCTTCGCAATAAGACTTCTGGGTCAGTTCAGTTTAGGACAGACGAGTGCAGCGTGTGTTTAGTAGGCAGTGCAGGTGTAGGTATGTTATGGTATGGTTAGAGACACAGAGCTGTGGCATTTGAGCCAAGGACCGTGTTGCTCTTGATGATCATCTGTGGCATTCCCTTCGATACGGCCAGTCACCATGTGACACAGCTTCGGAACATCGTGGACCTTCAAAGCCGAGCACCGTGCAGAGGCGGACGTATCAACACAATACGCCCGATGGACTTTCTGGCGGAGGTCTCTGACCAGGTTGCTGTCACGGGCGCCATGGTCGGCAACGGCAGAGGCGTGGCATCAAGCAACATGCTGAACGTTTCTTCGCTTCAATTTTAGACTTTTAGGTTGGGCTTGAGTGTTCACTATAATGATATAATGTATCAATGTTGCGTGTTCAGTGAGTCTGTGCCCTGTGCTCCACCGAGGATCTCATGACACCTTTGACGTTGAGGAAAATGGCTTTGGAGCTGGGTTTCGAGACTCGCAACCACATCCGGCCGAGCCTCCCGTCTCTGCCAGTTTCGATGGTCAGGGCCACAGGCCAGGTTAAAGAAGTCCGAGATCTGTTGGAAGCCCGCTCACAGCAGATTGAGGCCACCAGGCCAAAAGCCAGAGCTCCCGCCGCCATCAAAACGAAGGCCATGCCGGCAGGTGGGCGGGTTAAGGCATGGAGGTTCAGCGATTCGGGTGAGACGGGGACGGAATTTGGCTTCACCACTGACGACTCCTACGATATTGTGAGCATGGTTGGCGGCAAAGGCCTCACAGACTTTGAGTCCGATGCTCCCAAGCGTGCAACACTCCCAGGAGCTGCTTCGGCCAGTGGCGTTGCGCCAGGTTCCCGACCCCAGTCTTCGGCATCTGATGGCACTGAAGATCCGGACGCCGGTGCTCTGCCAGCCTCTTTGCCAGTGTCGTCCGAGGCAGAGGACGACGAGTATTACATGGTGGACAAAAGCCAACAGTCTGCGAGTACGAAGATGTGGCAGGATCGCAACCCGGAAAGCCCAGTTGCCTCGCCAAGGTGGACCTCCGAAGACTTCGTTCGGCTGCAAGGGGTAGTGAAAGACCTTGGAGACTTGAATCGTCAGCTCATGGCTTTCACCGCCAGCCCGGACGAGCTTGACGAGGAAGTCGAAGTTGAGGTCGAGGTTGAGGACGAGCCGGTGGAGGAGCAGAATGTGAAGATCGAGGAGGAGGCGGCTGACTATGGTGGCGATACGGATATGGAGCAGCAAGAGTCAGACCAAGCCGGCAAAGGAGAAGCTGAGGCTATGGAGGAAGAGGAAGAGCACCCACCTACAAGCTGCCCGTCATGATGTTTTTTTTTGAGTTTTTAAAAACTGACCTTAATTTCCTAGTACTTAGTACTAAGTGGGGGTTATGCGACTTGCTTGGTTGGCCCTTTTGCCATTTGCTTTTTGCTTCTTTTCCTACACAGCAATCTGAGGCCCGGTGCCTTCTGAAGGCGAGGAAGAGACCAAGCCCGAGCCAGCTGCGGATGATAAGTCCATGGCAGCGGCCTCTGGCCAGGTGTTCGTCGACCCCAACATGACAGCCGCCGCTGCCGTCGAAAATCTGGTTCAGGCTGTCAACCGACTACAGAAGGCTGGCGAGAAGGACGAGGGCCAGGATCCGGAGTCAGCTGAGACGTTAGCCAGGCTGTTTGAGTTGTTGGAGACACAAAAGGTCCAGCAACAGACGCTACTGACGCGACTCACAAAGGTCACGAACCAGGCTGAGGCAGACCAGCGCAAGAAGGAAGTTTTCGAGGTCATGTACAACCGTGACTTTTCGAGGCTGAGGCACCTCCTGTGCAACGAGCTGCCGGTCTCAGAGCTGGCTACCCTGCGCGATCACCAAGGCATGAGCCTTGCTCATCATTTGGTGCGCACAGGCTTAAAGCCAGGTTTGGAGTGGGTGTTGCCGTTAGACAGCACTTTGGGAGATTTTTTCCTCGCAGTTCTAGTTTTAGTT